TATCCGGAACATTAAATGATAAATAATGAGTAATCAATATGGTGGTTAAATAGAAGTGTTTTATTTACTCCCACAAGTTTGGGGCCATATAGGATTAAGTATTATTGTTGTGTTTCAGTTTGCATGTTTTGACTTCCAGAATAACTAGGTTATTCGAACCTCCACAGTCGGTCATACGTTGGAAGGAAGACTGTCACGAAGAGCATGTAGATTGTCTAAAGAGTTTAGACATAGCACAAGTTTGTGGCAGGGTTCATGAGTGTTTTGATAAGATTAGAGTATTGGATTAAACCCACGCTCACGTGGATCACTTTATGGATTTATCACGTGTGATTAGTGAGATGATAATATTGTATATTCTTGAAACTGAGACGTGTGAGTTGTTATTTGCTGGTCGGTTACACATCGATGATAAGTAAACGCACCAGTAACTTGGTGTTATAAAACTTATTGTTGTGTGTGATTCGATGAGTGAATGCAAGCGAGCATATGCGTCGAAGTTGATCCATTCCTTTTACCCAAAGTGGGATAAAAGCGATATATTTGGGCCTCTCGATGATTTAGTGATGACACCTAAGCGCTTGGCCAAGCCGAGACTAAGTTGATGTGTTCAATTGTAGTCTGTTGTTTGTCATCATAAATCGGAAGTTAGGAAACAGTATAGAGAGAATGATTAAAATTCATGTCTTATGTCTATACGATATCTTGAGAATGGAGGAATATATGATCCCTTACCTAAAGGACACGCTATCTGATAAGATCAGCGTTGACAGCAGCTTTTGAAAGCTACGATTGCTGATCAAGTTCTGAAGTCATACGGAAAATAGTTATTAGACGTATCCAAGTGGGAGATTGTTGGATTAGTGTCCAAGTCCATAACTATTTTGGTATGTACTTGACCCGATTATGAACATGGTCCTTTTGGGTTGCCTTCACCATAGCAATATGTAGAATGAATTAAGGAGAGAAATGTTTAATTATGATTTATTAATATATTATGAGAATAATATATTAAAAGAGAAATCATATTTTTTAATTAATATTAGTCAAGAATTAATTGATAATTAATTTTGTGGCTAAAAGAGATTAATTGTAACAGTTGGTAAAAATAGGAACAATCGTACGATGCTATGTTTTGATTATTAAACAATATAAGTATTTTATCAAGAATGGTTGAAAGCATTTAACCTCTTTTATTTAGATAAGTTCTTGTGAAATATAAAACAAGTAACTAACGATAATTTCGTTATGATGTATGACTACGAACCATCACCGGTTTGTGAAATTAGCATATAACATCATTTAAACGCAACAAACTTAATTTTTGTATCAACATGTCTCTAGTTGATATGTAAGTTAGGTTCTATGTAAAACGTTTTCTTAATAGATGTGAAGGATCTAAATTTGACAAATATACGAACCAAAGTGACAAAATGTGTTTAACGATATGGTTAACCGGTTAAATGTCACGAAATTATACATTGCTCAATAAATTTTATATTTAAATAAATTAAAATATAAAATGAATTATTATAAGGTATAATTAAAATGTATTTAAGTGTTTTTGAATAAAAAGAATAAAACATAAACATTAAAGTTCAAATACACAAAAACTACATTGTTATTTTATACTAAGTATACATGTATGTATTTGTATATATGTATTAGTATCTAGTGAATGACTAGTTATGAGTCATGAATTAAAGTGATTTCATGTAAGTTTTATGATGTCTAAATCAATTAAGATAAGTGAATTGGTGGAGATAAGTGCCAACTTAACTAATAAGTGCTTAATCACTTAAGACATTTTACTAAGAATGCTTATTAATCCCTCTTCTAATTTTCGAGATTAAGACCTTCCCTCTCCTTAACTAGAACTCCTAACTAACTAAATAACTAGTAGTTAGTTAGTTAACTAACTCTATCTCTAAACAACCACCCAAGCAAGTGGCTAGACAAGATCACATCACTTAAACTCACATCCCATCACAAGCTAGTCTAGGTTTTGTCCCTTATCCTCTTCCACTCTTTTCTCCTTCATAATCACGAAATTTCATCTTCATTTTACCCTCATTTGACCAGCAAATACTCCAGGGAATTTCTCTCAACCTTCATCTCATTTTCAAGCACAAGAACTTCCTTCCAAAGCCATCAAAACCATGAACTAAAGGGCTGCTGTCCCTTTTGTGTTTCAGCCACCATTTCACCCATCTACACCTTCCTTTTCTTGATATTTTTACCACCAAATACCCCTGGAAGTTACTTGTTTTGATACTCAAAATTATTGATTCAAAACAGTGAGTAAACTACCCTTTTTCTTGCTCTTTTGCTGTGAAATTTTCGTGACAGCAACATAGCCAAAAGAGTGGCTGTTTTGGAGCATCAAACCAACAACCAAAAGTTCATCTTCAACCTTCCATTCTTCAAGTATTCACATAAGGTGAGTTCATACCCCTACATTTTCATGTTTTCTTCAAGTTTAAAGGGGGGGAATACAAGTTAGAACACTAAACATAACTTAAATTTAAATGACAGCTTTCTACAGAAAAGTTGAGTCCTGTTCACGGACTGTTTTGACCATCTTAAACTTAATATATTTCAAAACTGTACAATATGAAAATAGTTCAAGTTTATACCTTTCTAATTACTACTCGCACGCGTTCATATGATTTTTCTACAATTTATGGCGATTTTTATAAAACTGCCTGTCATTTCAGAAGTGATTTCGGACCAGTCTGTGAAGATGTTAATTTTCACACTAGTTTGAGACCACTAAAAATTATAATAAAAATTAGGAACAAAGTAGACTCATTTTATAAACTCTCAGAGGTGACGGATTCAGTTTTTGACTTACGAGGATTTTTCTATGAGCTTTCTAAAAACAGGGACAGTAAAGGGTAAAACTGTCAAAAGTGGTTTATAGATTTATTAACACCTTCTAACATTTTTGAGCAATGTTTATACACTAAGGAAGTTAAAACACAATCATTTAAATATGTTTAATTACCATTTTTACAAAAGTGATAAGTACAAAAAGGTCTTTAGTATCAAACTTAAGGATTATTTCATGCAAAGTTTCTAATGAAAACGTAAGAATATGAACAACAATTATGAAACACACCGAATCATCTTTTAAAACTTATACATATATATAATCATATACATATATAGGTTTTGTTTACAAACTTGTCTTCTACATCAAAAATTTCACTTTACTCGTTTTTATCAAATGAATCACTTGTGATTTATTACTACTATGTGAAAACTCTTGTCATACTTTGTGTGCATTAGACTTACGCAAAGTATATAATGATTTCAAAGTACCTTTCATTGTTAAGTCATTTTATACATTCTAAAAACTTATGATTTATGCTTTGTCAAACATCGTGAAAAAGGATAAACTTTGCATACAAAAACTATCACTTTAATACAGGCTTAGTTGAGAATCCATGAGACGTGTATATCTTCAAACGTTACTTTTCTTTATTAGAAAGTAATGCTGCAAGTCCTGTCTATAACCAGAGTCTCCTGTTTGGAGAACGTGTCAAATGTGTATAGATCTATACGGAAAGTCATGATCCCGCGCCCTGACTGTTAGCTACAGTCCGTCCTTTGGGGTGACAGTTTGTCATAACGCTACGACGCCTGAAGAACGTCGCTACAGGCATATTATGTTTAGTATGGTTATAAAACTCACCGGATATACAATTAATACGGTATTATGCTTTTATGAACGAGTAGCTATTAAAACTATGCTACAACTTTTAAGCATGTCGGTTGCTTGCGATTTTCGGTCTTAGAGACTGCTAGTTATGTTAGGAAAATAAGGGTTTTTCCTGGATACAAACCAAACAACTAATAGGAAAATAAGGAATTTTCCTGGTGCAATTGCTTACAACTTATAACATGAACATTCATATGCATTTCATACTTTTATAAGAAAATAAGGGTTTTTCTTGGAAAACACAACAGTTCGTATCTCAACCATTAGGGAAAATATGAGATTTTCTAGATCTAATACATTCATTGTCAACACAACGAATCATAACTCTTTACATTTGAAATACTGCGTTTTATGGAAAACATACACGAACTTTCGAATGGCGTACATTTTCTCAAAACACTACTTATGAACTCACCAACTTAATTGTTGACACTTTTTCTTTGAAATAACTTGTATTCTCAGGGAACCGCTAAGCAGGTTTGGAGATCAACTTTTGGGTATTAACGTGCTGACGTTAATTACTTCTTTTGAAAGATGTTTATGTATTTATCTTTTGATCATGTAACGAATACAATTATGTAAACATTTTGAAAAACTTAATATATATGGTGGTGTGTACTTTCCTTTCTATGAACTGTTATGATACTGAATATGACGTCCTCCGCCCTCGAACGTTTCTGCCGTTCTGGTTTGGGGGTGTGACATTAATTAAACTTAAGGGACTGGTATTGTAATTATAAGATAATTGCAAGAGTGGGCTAATGGACTCCATAGAGTGGAGTGGACGAAATTTATGGGGAAGCCCATAAGATTTCGTCCATAACTCTGAAGAAAGGGATTCATGGACTGCTTAGGGCCTCAGCAGTCAGATTAGGGTTTCCTGGTTGAAAACCCTAATAGCCTACATGTATATAAAGGACCCTTAAGCCCCAAAAACGTGGACAACACTTCCTTTAGGGTTTCCAACCGTTTTTGGGCAGCCTCCTCTCTTCCCTCTTCATCCAAGTTGCTTAGTGGTGTTTGTGACTCCATTAGAGGTGCAACACTTGAGGCACTAAGCTTTCTAAAGCTAAGGATTGATTGTTATTGCTATATAACAATCTAAGGTCAAATCTAAACTCTATTTTACGTTAATATGATTAATTGTATGCTAGATCTAGGGTTTATAGCTTTGGATATTTAATTGCATGTTCATTAGACAAACTAGATTCAAAAGCTATTAGGGTTTGCATGTACACCATAGGAATGATGTTTTGCATGAAATCTATCAGATACGTCAACTAAAATGATTGTAGGAAAGATTGAGTGCTTGAAGGCCTCGAAGATCTTGGAGTGATGCTAGGATTTCTCCTTCAAAGTTGTTACGAGAGAGATCAATGGACATATCTATGGTTAAAATACGATCGTACTCTGTTTTGACACCTTTGTGTATTAAGGTCACCGTGTATTTCACATATGTAAAGACAATTCTGGAGGATATCTCTGATTCCATTGCAGATGATACACCAAGATCGTCGGAGCTCATGGCATGCCATGTTTGGAAGTAGTTTTGGTGCAACTGACCACTAAAATTGTTGTTAGAGAGGTCTATGTTACGCAACTTAGGAAACTGTGAGTAACCTTGAATTGGACCATAAAATTTGTTGGACCGCAAGACCAGAACTTGTAGCTCCGGAAGACTTCCCAACCAAGAAGGAAAGGCATCATGAAAAGAGTTATCTTCAAGAGAGAGAATCTCTAAATTGGTACAATTTGTCAATGATCTTGGTAGCAGACCCGTAAATCTATTTCCGCTCAAATCAAGTTCTGTCAACAGGCTTCCAAGCATAAAAGCATTCATCATTTTTCCGTGGAAGTTATTTCTCTTCCGAATCAAAGACACCAATGAATTGCTAAGGATACCCAAACATGAAGGAAGTGTTCCACTCATGTTGTTAAAAGACAAATCTAACATTTGAAGAGATTTCAATTCACATATGGACATTGGTATTTCTCCTATCACATTTTTCTTTGCAATAGAATAAATAAGTGTGGTTTGTGGTGGAAATGGTAGTTGTCCGCTTACCTGGTTTTTTTGGATAAAAAATACTGCCCAATTTCTTCATGGAAGAAAATGAGGATGTTGATCAAAGCCAGTGATGGAGTTGAATGAAAGGTCAATCAACTCTAATGTTTCTCGGCTGTTGTTCCAGATCCATACCGGTACCAGACCATTAATGTTGTTGTGGTCAAGAACTAAGGTACACAATTTATTTTGGAAGCGCAAAAAGGCAGGAAATTCTTTCAAATTGCATAATGACAGTGATAACGTATCCAAAGTTGGTAAACTGGTATTGGTGTAGTTGTTGGTGACTACTACTGTTATCCTGTTATCACTTAACTCGAGTACTTGGAGTTTGTCGAGGCCTAGGAACATGTCGAGTTCTACTCTACCACTGAAATTGTTTCTACCTAGGTTAAGATACTCAATATTTTTTAAGATTCAAAATGTGTTTGGAATTGGTCCTTGCAATTGATTCATCTGAAGATCCAATCTTGTTAGTTGGGTGAGGTTGAACAGCCAGGATGGTATACGACCAGTAAGAGAATTGTTGTTCATTTCTACCTCACTAAGTCTGGTTAGATTGGCAAGAAAGAGTGGGATTTCACTGTATATGTTCATATCATGTTGAATGAGTTTTGTAAGGGTGTCACATTGAAAGCTAGGTTCTTCAGGCTAGGACTGTGAAGCCTTAGTGAATTCCTTGACAGATCTAAGGGAGACAATTGCATCAACTGCGAGATTCCATTCGGGATTTGGCCACTAAACGCAAAATCAGAGAGATCGAGGGTTCTTAATTGCTTTAGACGAGCAATCTCAGATGGGATTTGAGAATCACCAAAGTCGTTCCCAGAAAGGTTGAGTCTCTGAAGATGAACAAGGCTGAAGGGGGTGTTGTTGGAGTTGATATGCCCACAAAGAGAACTCTCGCTCAACTCAAGACCAATCACATGACCATAGTACTGATCATGGTCATGGCTGCATGCCACCCTCTCCCATGAACAACAATCAAAAATATTGTTCCAAGAATGAAACACTTGAGATCCATGAGCACCACAAGCAGCATCATCTTGATGAATTATGCTCTGCTTAAACTGCAACAAGGCTGAGCATTCTTCATCATGGCTTACTGATGATCCAGTCACATTCTTCACTGTCACCAACACATATAGAAGGGAGATGGTTTGCAAGAACTTGAAGTGATTCATGTATGGAGCCATGAATTAAAAAGGGTTTTTATTTTATAATTGTTTATGGACATGCAATGTTCAATATATATATGTAGACCATGAGTTTGTAATTTCAACGTACAAGCATAACCAGATAATCATCATGACTGTGGTCTGTGGGTAAGGGTGAAGGGGAACCAATAAAAGGTATAGCTGAAAATTCAACTAATAGAGCCAAAGAAAAAAGAATTTTGGGATTTTTAAAAATAGACAAAATATTAGAAAGAAAGAAAAAAGATCGGTATGTATAATTGCTTTTACCTTAATTAGTCGTTTTTTACTTTATTTGTCACGAATTTGATGGCAAATTGGCAAATATTGAAAACTTTGTAAGTTAATATGTGAAAAGTGGAAAAATAGGGGATGAGCCCCCTTTTAAATAACCACAAGATCAATATCATAGCAGTCTTGAAGCGGTTAAAAGGTGGCCTTAATTTATTGAATTGATTAAGTTCAAATCCTTTTTGTAACTAAGATTGAAGATTTTGGTGTCAAAATTCATAATTTTTATAAAAGCAATGGAATGGAAACTGTAAAATAGCCTAAAAATATGAATTCAAATACAAATAACTGCCGAGTGGAAGACTTCAAAGTCTTGCGAGTGGAAGACTTCAAAGTCTTTACTGCAATAGACACCTGTTTTCTTCGTAAATACTATTAAATATCACAAATTGACGTTTTAAATGGTTCATCTATTGACCAAAGGCTGCAAGAAGAAGAAGCAGCTGTTGGGGCTCAATAGCATGCCTGCCAGCAACTTTAGACAAGGATCAGGTGCCTTTCTTATCTTTCTTCCAGAATACATTAAATATAGACGGTTCATTCAAATGGTCTTGGTCTCTTGACCCCTCAGGTGATTATACTGTCTCCTCATTACGGAACCTCATTGATTTTCGGACCCTGCCTCATAGTAATGCTAGTTGGAATTGGAACCCGCTTGTGCCGGGTAAGGTAAACATATTAGCCTGGAGGGTCTGTCATGGTAGACTTCCATGCATGGAGAACTTATGTAAGATGGGTATCAGCTCTTTAGATTTGTGTCAAATGTGCCATGAAGCCTCAAAAACGATAGATCACATCTTTGTGGGTTGTCCGATCTCAAAGGAAGTCTGGGCGCAGGTGTGCAGTTGGTGGCGGTTAATGGAAAATTCTCCAAACAATTGTAGTGAGTTGTTTAATTGTATCGACTCGCTTGGAGGTCATCATAGGCTGAAGAGGATTCATGAGGCTATAATGTTGGTTTTCTTATGGGTAATTTGGAGATACAGGAACAACAAGGCTCATTGTCTGAACTTAAACTCCTGTTCAAAATCGGCTTTGGCATTCGAGGTACAAAATTATCCGCACCTATGGATCAATGCGAGGAATCGGAAGGGAAGGAAACTGTGATGGCTCGAGTGGTGTTGCGACCCAATTTTGGAGTGCTATAGCAGGGTGTAGTTAGTTTGTATTAGTTTCCAGTTTCCATTTCCATTTTCATTCTCATTTTCTTTTCCTGTTTCATGCCCAATTGTATCTGTGTTGATGCTGTTCCGGGACAATTTGTACCTCCTAGCCCCTGGCTAGTTTTTATTTTTATATATTTACCTGCCGTTCTAAAAAAAATGGTTCATCTGTTTTTTAAATGGTGTGTTTGGTTATTGTTTGATGAAATTAGAATTTGGGCAGAAGGATTTAAAATTTTGAGTTATGGAAACCATCAATGGAATCGTAACCCTAAATGAGCTTTAAACGTGACCTCAAATTAATTGCTCTCAGTCGTCCATGAAATTCTAACCCTAAATCCGCTTTTGCTCAGACTACGATTCAATCATGTCTTACAAATCAGAAATACTATCATTCATGGAAAGGCCGAGATAGGGCCGGTCCAAACGTATATGGGGCCCAGGGCGAAAAGAAAAAAATGACCCTTTAGATACAAATATAATAAAGATTAAAGAAAATATAATTTATTCTTCACTATAAACGCGCTAAATTAGCAATAACAAGCAACCCAAATTGTTTATCTTTTAAGTTAGTTTCAGTTTGAACCAACTTTAGGCCCTAAAAATCATTTAGGTAATAATTTTTTTATATATATGCACTACATAGCCCAAGAATTTTGGGCCCCTTGGAGACGTGGGCCATGGGCGCTGGCGGTCGTCCGGGTTGCCCATCGTCTGGACCGGCCCTGGGCCGAGAGAGATGGAAAGGTTCATGGAGATGAAATTAATGGCGAATTACAGAAGTATTTCAACTCAAATGACGATGAACCCTTACAGTCCTTGAATGGGGGAGCCATTGAGTTCAGTCTTGTAAAGAGCCAAAAAAAAAAATTTACTTGGAGAGGTTCCTGAAAATTCGGGAATTTTGCAAAGTTGTCAAGGCCAAAGAGGAAATACAAAAAAAAGGAACCAAGTCAAATATAAAAGTAACGAGTGTTATTTAGTAGAAGTGTTATGCAAAATGGAAAGGCTGAAGAAGGTTATTGATTTTGGATGAGAAACATGCATACAAGCCATTCGATGAAATGCCTGAGGCAGTTAAGGTATCCTCATTCTATCTTACTTTACCTGATTCATGAGTTGATTATATGTACTTGAACAATGTATTATCTTCAGGCATGCTTAACATGATCACCATTTGAACTTGTCAGATGCAAGCTGAATGATTGTGGTATCCAAGTATCCATTCTAACCATTAAAAATTCCAACTAAATTTACTTTTTTTACCCCTCCTCTTTCCCCTGTTCTGCAATATAGCTTTCAATGTGACACCCTTAATAAAGTTTATATCTTGGAAAAAAAATTGAGTTATGTTTTTGCAAAAATTGCAGATTTTAGAGGCTTTGCTTTGAAAGGGTATATATAATAGTCCCTTCATCTTTTGAGAAGACTTTGGGCCATATCATCCACTAAACAAGATTGATTCTATCTATAATGACCTTAGAACCATGCCACTAGAAGTTTTGGCTAGAAATCATCCTCTTGTTACAAGATTAGTAGAAAATGGACTTCTTTTCATGGTCATTTGGAAACAGTAAAAGTTTTCTTTCTGAAAACTGATGACAAAAAATATTTGTTTCCCTCATTAAGTCCCAACTTTTCGTAAATTATAGTTTTGGTCTCTGAGATTAGCACTTTCTAGGGTTTTGGTCCCAAAAATTTTCTTTTGCAATTTCAGTCCTTATTGCAAGGTTTTGTATCGGTTTTGGTCCCTTGATTGTTAACTTTAACCACTAAACTATTAAATTCATCGTAAATGACTATTTTACCCTTGGGCCAAAACTTGGAATCAGTTGATCAGTACCGTAAAATTTATCTCATAGACTTTTAGTTGGTGTTGGGATTTCTCGTGTTAGCTTCTTTTCCGTTTCTTCTTTTGTACTTCTCCTACTGGCTTTTTATATTTTTTATAAAAAATTTTGTAATGCACTTTATTGACCAAACAAATCATGATTCCAAGGGTTTGTTTAGATATGGATTTATGAATTCAATGACAATGCAAGAAATTTGTCTCCAATCGAGATCACTTTTGTAGGAACAATACTCATATTTTAAAACCTTACTTTATAGCCAAAATAAATTGTGATTTTGCTGACCTAAATGCTACCCCCTTCCTTTGAAAAATGTTACATTTTTTTATTTCTTTGTGAAAAAAAATATTGAGGGTATAATAGTCAATTAATAAAAATAAGAATTTAAAATGAGTATAAAATATTTAAAAGTGTTAAAGATAAGAATTTGGGCAATTTTGATATTTTGAAAGCTTGTGAAGGGTATTTATGATATTTAGAAATTAGATTGGATAAATACGATATTTCGATGTTTAAAAATAGCATATACGAAATTATCTCACCTACTTGTCTAAAGTATCAACCAAGCAAAAAATGAAATCACATAAACCTATCGCGTAGAGTCATTGATAGTAGTACCGAATCGGCTTGTTTTGACAAACTATACGAGGACCAAATGTGTAATTTTGTCTAAAATATATTAATTTAAATACAAACTACTGCTAGTGGAAGACTTCAACATCTTTCTTTATCTATTAAATATTTAAATGTAGCAAAATTGACAATCACAAACGTGTCACACGAACTTCTTTGATTGTATGTATGTTTACTCGTTAGATAATTTTTAAAATCACAATTCACGAACCAAGTTATTGAATGGTTATGTTTGTTTCGTTCACATATATATATTTTAAAATCACAAATCAAGATTTTTACTGCCTCATCAACTTTCTTTTTAAATGCAATTCCGATCATAAATCGTTGTATTGGTTAAGCATAAATGCATAATTGGTGCAATCTTAATTGTTTTATATGAGAATAAGTTAATTTGAATACTAATTTATTGATAATGAAGATAAAAAGAGCCACAAACATTTATTTGGGAGAATGAAAACATAAACGTCCTTTTCGGGGTCGAATCCATACTTTTCATAAAGCAAAGTGAAGCAAACCGTAAAATAACCTAAATTATATTAAGGGGTTGTTTGGTTGGTTGGAATACCTATGAAATTTTACGAAATTTGAATCTAATTCCACCGGTTTCGTAGGTTTGGTTGTATGGGTGAGCATTTGGACCCAACCGATACCGAAACCAGTTTGGGAGGAATGTAAAGACTCTAGACCAGACAACATTCATTACGTGTGGTGCAATTCGATGAAGTGTATGGTACATTCATTGCATTGGGCTAGTACAACATTCATTATATATGGTACAATTCGAGAACAAACTAGTCCAATACTTGAAACTGTTTAAAAAAACGGAATCAAAAAATTGACAATCCAAGAATTGATAATCGACCTGACTACATAAAACAGGTATCGATCCAGGTTTAAGGACAGGTTTAGGTCCAGTCTGGATGCTCATCCCTATATGGTTTAAGATAAACTTTCTATTCGGGGCCATTCTATCAAGAGTATAAAGAAATTAATTAAGATACGTTTTATTATAAACCAACACTATATTTGGAGCAAGTTTTAAGAGCTTTTTGATTATCTTCAGGAGGTCGGGAGTTGGACGGTCTTCCTTTTTATTTGACAACCAACTAGAATTAGTCGGATCCAACCAATCTGCCCTACATAACCCGACCCAAATCCATCCCAACTTGTGCTTATTTATAGCTTTTGACCAAATTTTATTTTTTATTACAATTCGGTCCTTTTATTTAGTTTGCCAAAAACATTTTCTTATTATAATGCGCAAGTTTTGATTTTTGTTATAATTTTTTTTTTTTTTTTTTCAAAATTTACCCAAATTATTTACAAACTTTATATTCATATGTTCTTTTATTTTTTACAACTTCGTTTTCATATTTTTGAATCTTTTTACACCTTCTTTTACATCTTATTTTTACAGCCTTTGTTTTTTTACAAAAATATTTTTCACAGAATTTTTACAAAGCTTTCACATATTTTTAGTTATAAACATTCATGGTAAACGACTGGCTGGTCTAACGGCTTGAGTGATTTTTATTTGGTTTTACTTGAGGAGTTCGGGGTGGTGTGGGTCGACTCCTCCTTCCTTCGATGACATTTTTAGTTTCCTTTATTTATCTTTATCCACCTCCACCTCCTCAACTTCCCCTTAAATACCATTAAATCAACTTATGGACACCTCCACACCTCTTTACCCTTTTCGACTTATCACCATCTTCTTTATCCCACACAGCCACACTTTGCTTACAGATCGAGCGTCAATGCAACACTAGCTACCACCAGCTCTCCTCTCTTGAAGAAATCTGTATGGAGTCGGAAGAAGTGACGACAGAAGAATAGGACAGTGGAACCTAAATCCATGTTTTTGTACCAGGAGGATTTGGTGATAAGACTAAGATGTTCACCGTTATGCAGAATGAAGTTCTTGTCACCGCCCACTAGGTATTCGATGAAATGCCTAGGTCGCTTCTTATGTTCTGTTTTCATTGTTTTACCTGTACTTTTTGTATATTTCCACAACAAAATTTCATATTAGTTTATTGGATGGATTCCATTGCTGCTCTATATATTTGTTATCTCAAATCAATAATTGTTCCTTCTTTTAGTTTATATAGAATTGGTTATGTTAATAGTGATTGAAAACATGATAAGTTACGAAAAATATCTGCACTTGAACCCACTACTTCAGGTCATTGGATGAAGCATCAGGTAATTCTTAATGTTACCTTATTATATATATAAAAACAGCGATATGTTTTATAACAAAAACAAGTAGCACCATTCATTGAATATGAAGATTTCGAGTGCATAAATCACTATTCATAGACTGCATGGTTATTCTCATGTGTGGAACCTCTTTAGGGCTTCAGTGTAATTAGTACTAATATCCTTCTCTTCATTCCCTTTCTTTTCCTTAATTTTAAAACTCGAGAACAGGATTTATAGCTATTAAAAGTGTTTGAAATCATGAAAGAAAATGGATGAAAACATATTGCTGTGGCTGAATTTGTGGATTGAAGTTTAAAAGGTATTTGTGTAATTCAACTAAAATCAATTGAAATAGTCCAAGTAATAACACTGATTTATTGTTAAAAGAATTATTACATTTTATACAAACAATGAATTTCACTTATTTAATTCAAAAACATATAATATACATTAATTATATTAGAAAATATATAACATACATGAATTTCATAAAATCACAACCTCAAATTTGAGGTTGAGGTTGAGGTTGTAAATACTTGTCAATAGCTTACATAAAAGTCTATGATCATGCCATCATGCATAAACGATAAACTTAAACATTGGAACTGTATGATACATCAAAATCTTATAGTGAAAGTCTACTCCAAGAAATCTAATTCAGACAAGCACAAACTTAAACGTAATATTAATATACACATACTACATGGTAAAACAAACTGAAATCCCTTAAAGGTCTTCAACAACTTCTGCATACCCTTCGAACTTTAAGCTATGACGCCTCCTGAGATACATGTTAAGTTAAGTTCATGATTTTCTAACTATAGAAAATGCTTCATCCACAGTAAATTGTCATCTCAGAAACCATATCATAACTCTCAAAAAGTAACATTCTTGTCATAGATATTATGATGAACTTATTATAAATAAATACCATGTTTAAAACATAGACCGACATCACCTAACTAATGGACTCGACATGAATTTCATTAAAAGGATTCAATCCTTTACCTTTCAATGACACATTCAAGGAAAAATATAAATTTTCAGGATTTTTATCCAAAGGTCAATTAAAAAATGAAAACTTGGATTATAAAATTGCGAAACAAAATTTTAAAATTGGATCAATACTTCCAATTGAATGAGTATGAATAAAGAATCCATGGATGAAGATAGAAAAGTAGATTTCTAATTTCTAATCGTAACTAAATCTTCAATTTTTGTTTGCATTTGTGGCGAATAAATTGAAGCAAAATAGCTATTAAAGAATATCTTTAGTTTACTAGAGACATCGACATATTATTTTAGCTCGGTGGAAATAAAATCATTTTCCTTAGGACCCTCTCAAATAGAAATAAATAACGAAGTAACTAGAAAGATTGTTAGAATTGCCTTCTTCTAGAGGGATCATCTATAAAGCTAAAATAAAAAGATTTATTCTTTAATATTTTTAAGTTAAATATGTTAATAAGACTTTCTTTGCTAAAATGCATATTTGACTTGACATATACTTTAATTGAATCTTTTGACAAATGAGATAAATGACAAAAAAGGCAAGTAATTGTTGATAATATAAAGTTGAGATGTATGACAGTTCATCTCACAAAGATATTGTTAGGATTACTTTAATTTAAAAATATAAGTTTAAAAACATATATAGAAGTATTATACTTTTTTGGATGACATACATAAAACATTTTCCATTTGGTTGAGACTACATACATATAAACAAATTATCATCTTGAAAAATTGTTGCGAGTTATTTAGCGAATCAATATTGTACCTTAGTTTCTCTTTGTGTTACGAAGTGGCCTTACCCATCTGTCCTTCCTCTTTGTGAACCGATAACTATACCTTTCATATAGAAAGTTTCCAATAACAACCCCAACAATCAGCCCGCTTCCAACTCCACACAATACAAAGATCCAATCAGTTCTTTCACTCGGGAAGAGAGACTCAGACACATTGCTTGTTGGTGGAACTCTCGGCACCTTTGAATCTTGACCTTCCTTGGATAAAGGTTTCCTATACAAGCCAGGATTCCCTATGTAAGAGAAGTCATCGAACGTATCAAATTGTTTTCCTTGTGGTATGCGCCCCTCAAGATGGTTGAATGACACGTTGAAGATGGAAAGGAAGCCGAGTTGCACCAACTGTTGAGGAATTTCCCCAGATAGGTCGTTTCGAGAGAGATCCAAAGCTTCAAGATTTGTTAGGTTCCCTAAAGACGGCAAGACACGTCCAGTAAAATGATTGTTGGAAAGATTGAGGGCTTGAAGTCCTCGAAGATCTTGTAGTGATCGTGGGATTTCTCCTTCAAAGTTGTTACAAGAGAGATCAATGGACATATCTATGGTTAAAATACGATCGTACTCTGTTTTGACACCTTTGTGTATTAAGGTCACCGTGTATTTCACATTTGTAAAGACGGTTTTGGAGGATATCTCTGATTCCATAGCAGATGATACACCAAGATCGTTGGAGCTCATGGCATGCCATGTTTGGAAGTAGTTTTGGTGCAACGGACCACTGAAATTGTTGTTGGAGAGGTCTATGATCCGCAACTTAGGAAACTGTGAGGAACTTTGAATTGGACCATAAAATTTGTTGGACCGCAAGACCAGAACTTGTAGCTCCGCAAGACTTCCCAACCAAGAAGGAAAGGCGTCATGAAAAGAGTTATCTTCAAGAGAGAGAATCTCTAAATTGGTACAATTTATCAAAGATCTTGGTAGTTGACCCGTAAATCTATTTCCGCTCAAATCAAGGTCGTTCAACAGGCTTCCAGACATAAAAGCATTCATCATTTTTCCGTGGAAGTTATTTCGTGACAGATACAAAGCAATCAACGAATTGCTTAAGATACCCAAACATGAAGGAAGTGTTCCGCTCATGTTGTTAAAAGACAAATCTAACATTTGAAGAGATTTCAATTCACATATCGATGCTGGTATTTCTCCTATCACATTATTCTTTGCAATAGAATAAATAATTGTGGTTTGTGGTGGAAATGGTAGCTGTCCGCTTACCTGGTTTTTATGGATAAAAAATACTTGTAAATTTGTCCATGGGAGAAAATGAGGATGTTGATCAAAGCCAGTGATGGAGTTGAATGAAAGGTCAATCAACTCTAATGTTTCCCGGCTGTTGTTCCAGATCCACACCGGTACCAGGCCATCAATGTTGTTGTGGTCAAGAATTAAGGTACGCAATTTATTTTGGAAGCGCAAAAAGGCAGGAAATTCTTTCAAATTGCATAATGACAGTGATAACGTATCCAAAGTTGGTAAACTGGTATTGGTGTAGTTGTTGGTGACTACTACTGTTATCCTGTTATCACTTAACTCAAGTACTTTGAGTTTATCGAGTCCTAGGAACATGGCGAGTTCTACTCTACCATTGAAATTGTTTCTACCTAGGTTAAGATACTCAAGATTTTTTAAGATTGAAAATGTGTTTGGAATTGGTCCTTGCAATTGATTCATCTGAAGATCCAATCCTTTTAGTTGGGTGAGGTTGAACAGCCAGGATGGTATACAACCAGTAAGAGAATTGTTGTTCATTTCTACCTCACTAAGTCTGGTTAGATTGGCAAAAAAGAGTGGGATTTCACCGTATATGTTCATATCATTTAGATAGAGTTCACTAAGTTTAGTCAGCTTTCCAAGCCAACTGGGAAAGCGTCCTTTCTCGAATTTGTTACCATTAAGTACCAAAAAATCGAGTTTCAAAAGACTTACCAGCGAAGGAACAGAACCTGTGAACTGATTGCCATCAAGAGCCAAGAAAGTGAGTTGTGTCAAGTTAGAGAGTGAACGTGGAATGCCCCCGGAGAAAGAGCATTGGGAAAGGGACAAGTCGGTCAGATGCTTGAGGTGGCCTAGGGATTCTGGTACAACCCCAAAGAAACCTGTGCCCCCGAGTATCACCTCTGTTAGTAAGCTGTTGTTACAGAAGTCTGGAAAGGAACCAGTGAGTTCGACATTGTTTGCCAAATTAACAACTTGCAACTTTGGCAGCTCAAGTATGGCTGCAGGGAATTCATTCCCAAGCGAACAATCTCTCAGCTTGATTGATCTTAATGCAGAAAAGTTTGCCAAGAAATGGGGTACAGAAGAACTAATGTCAACCCCTGAGAGATGGAGTATTTCTAGTCCTGTTAAGTTTTGTGCTAGGTTCTTCAGGCTAGGACTGTGAAGCCTTAGTGAATTCCTTGACAGATCTAAAGAAGACAATCGGATCAACTGCGAGATTCCATTTGGGATTTGACCACTAAACCCAGAATAAGAGAGATCGAGGCTTCTTAATTGCTTTAGACGACCAATCTCAGAAGGGATTTCAGATTCACCAAAGTCATTCATGGAAAGATTGAGTGTCTGAAGATGAACAAGGTTGAAGAGGGTGCTGTTGGAGTTGATATGCCCACAAAGAGACCTCTCGCTCAAGTCAAGACCCATCACATGATGACCATAGTACTGATCATGGTCATGGCTGCATGCCACCCCCTCCCATGAACAACAATCAAAACTATTGTTCCAAGAATGAAACACTTGAGATCCATGAGCACTACAAGCAACATCATCTTGATGAATTATGCTCTGCTTAAACTGAAACAAGGCTGAGCATTCTTCATCATGGCTTAATGATGATCCAGTCACATTCTTCACTGTCACCAACACATATAGGAAGGAGATGGTTTGCAAGAACTTGAAGTGATTCATGTATGGAGCCATGAATTAAAAAGGGTTTTTATTTTATAATTGTTTATGGACATGCAATGTTCAATATATATATAGACCATGAGTAAGTAATTTCAACGTAGAAGCATAACCAGATAATCATCATGGCTGTGGCGGTGTGGCCTGTGAAGCGGACCCAATAAAAGGTAAAGCTGAAAATTCAACTAATAGAGCCAAAGAATTTTGGAATTTTTAAAAATAGACTAAATACAAGAAAGAAAAAAAAAAAAAAAAAAAAGATCAGTATGTATAATTGCTTTTACCTTTATTAGTCGGTTTTTTTTACTTTCTTTGTCACGAATATGATGTATTGAAAACTTTATAAGTTAATATGTGAAAAGTGGAAAAATAGGGGATGAGCCCCCTTTTAAATAACCACAAGATCAATATCATAGCAGTATTGAAGCGGTTAAAAGGTGGTCTTAATTTATTGAATTGATTAAGTTTAAATCCTTTTTGTGACTAAGATTGAAGATTTTGGGGTCAAAATTCATAATTTTTATAAAACTAATGGAATGGAATCGGTAAAATAGCCTAAAAATATGAATTCAAATACAAATAACTGCTGAGTGGAAAACTTCAAAGTCTTGCGAGTGGAAGACTTCAAAGTCTTTAGTGCAATAGACACCTGTTTTCTTCGTAAATACTATTAAATATCACAAATTGAATACTATTAAATATCACAAATTGACGTTTTAAATGGATCAGTTTTTTAAAGGGTTATTGTCATTATAGCCCAACTATGTTTAGTATATTGGTTTAAAAGGCCCCTCGCGATTTTTTTTTGCCTTTTAGGGGTACGAACTTGTGTTGTACCTGCTAATAAAAGGATGGACCACATTTTAAGCCGGTTTTACCGGTTACAATAAGCTTATTTGGTTTTTTATTTTTCTTTTTAAAAGTTAAAATTGAAAGAATAATCCATGTGAGTTCTTTTCTTCGAGAAACCTCATTCTTCTCTTATGAATCGATTTATAGCTCCGAGTTTTAACGATCGCAGGTTTCTTTTTTATCTCTTCCTCTCCAATCGATCTCACAGCCTCCTCTCTCTTGTTCTCCTTCATGGCGTACTGTAGAAACATAGTTCACCCAACCTTCTTACCTTCGATCGAAATCGAGTTGCAGGTTTGATGGAGTGAGATGAAGATGACTGTGTGGGTCCATCTCCACTCACTTCCTGCATCTGTTCAAATTCATCCACCATGTATACAAACAACTGGAAACCCTAACCCTAGCTCAAATCTTAAATCGCTAAATATATAAAATTGCAATTTAAGCCCTAGTTTCAACGTTCTCTAATGAGAAAAAACGAAGAGAGTCGAACCTTAGGCAGGAAAGAGGTGAACCTTCTAACTTTAGCTTTCTACAACAACGAAGTGAAGATATGAGCATCATAAATTGTATCTTTTTTACAAAGAGAATATGAATCGGAGGCCAGATCGGAAAACATCTCCAAAAAATCATCCAAATCTAACGCACCAAATCCACTTTTTTCTCTCTCTAGAATGTTCAACAACTCCTTAAAGAAAACGACGTCGCAGGGGAGGACGAATTTGCCAGTGGTCTGGAAGCCGAACTCCTCCTCCACTTTGTTGAGTAAGGAGACGAACACAAGTAGGTTGAGAAAGCGGGTGGGAATGACGAAGCAGCGGTGTTCTTCACCAGCGTAAACGGCAAGAGATCCGACAGAGGGGATGCAACGACAGCCAACGTTGCACGACGTGTTTGAGGTAGATGATCTAGCTGATTTTGTTGCCCCTCTTATTTGTTTGAACTTCAAATTGGTGATTATGTCAACGTCTACAACGTTTTCGGTTCTTCAATTTCATCACTGATATGTTCCATCCTCTAATTTCATTCGGAATTTCTTTGTACTTTTTGAATTTTGATGAAAGATAAAGGAAAAATCAACGTGGATGACACATAGGCTCCACATGGACTATTTAAGTTGAACAAATGTCATATGGCATATCAAAATTCATGATTAGGAAGGGGTTCACTGGGTGACCCCTTCATATTTTTGATAATGACTTTTTTAAACGGTAAAACACAAGTACGTATCCTAAAAGGCAAAAAAAAAATCGCGAGAGACCTTTTAAACCAATATACTAAACTTGGTTGGGCTACAATGACAATAAACCTTTTTTAAACGTTGTGTTTGGTTATTGTTTGATGAAATTAGAATTTGGGCAAAAGGATTCAAAATTTTGAGTTATGGAAACCATCAATGGAATCGTAATCCTAAATGAGCTTTAAACTTGACCTCAAATTAATTGCTCTCAGTCATCCATGAAATTGTAACCCTAAATGAGCTTTTGCTCAGACTATGATTCCATCATCTCTTAAAAATAAAAAAATACTATCATTTACGGAAAGGCCGAGAGAGATGGAAAGGTTCATGGAGATGAAATTAATGGCGAATTACAGAAGTATTTCAACTCAAATGACGATGAACCCTTACAGTCCTTGAATGGGGTAGCCATTGCGTTTAGTCTTGTAAAGAGCAAAAAAAAAAAACTTTTACTTGGAGAGATTCCTGAAAATTCAGGAATTTAGCAAAGTTGTCAAGGCCAAAGAGGAAATACAAAAAAAAGGAACCAAGTAAAATATAAAAGTAATGAGTGTTATTTAGTAGAAGTGTTATGCAAAATGGAAAGGCTGAAGAAGGTTATTGATTTTGGATGAGAAACATGCATACAAGCCATTCGATGAAATGCCTGAGGCAATTTAGGTATTCTCGTTCTCTCTTGCTTTACCTGATTCATGAGTTGATTATATGTACTTGAACATCTATTCTCTTCAGGCATGCTTAAGATGATCACCATTTGAACTTGTCAAATGCAAGCTAACATTGTTTTACCAGTTATTGGTAAATGATTGTGGTATCAAAGTATCCATTCTAACCATTAAAAATTCCAACTAAATTTACTTTTTTTACCCCTCCTCTTTCCCCTAATTCTGCAATATAGTTTTCAATGCGACACCCTTAATAAAGTTCATATCTTGGAATGTTTTGAATTATGTTTATGCAAAAATTGCAGATTTTAGAGGCTTTGCTTCCAAAGGGTATATATAATAGTCCCTTCATTTTTTGAGAAGACTTTGGGCCATATCATCCACTAAACAAGATTGATTCTATCTATAATGACTTTAGAACCATGCCACCAGAAGTTTTGGCTGGAAATCATTCTCTTGTTACAAGATTAGTAGAAAATGGACTTCTTGATCACAAAAATATTTTTT